GAGCTCTAAAGTTGCTTGGGCATTCTTGCCCTTATAGACTTTATGGTTGTAGCCCATGTTGTCTTTTGTATATGGGAGAAAATATGTGTACAAAGTGACGTGTGTGTGTGTGTGCAGAAGCCAGTTAAGACAGAATCTCTCCCTGAACTTAGAGCTCACAATTTTTGTTCAAGCCTGCAGTAAGCAAACCCCAGCAACCCTCCTGTCTCCATACCCATCAGTGTTGAGGTTAAAGGCATGCTTGGGACCAGACTAGCTTCATGGATGCTAGGATCCGAATTCCAATCCTCTCATTCTCATGCATGCATGCGTACCAAGCATCCTTAACCACTTAGGCATCTCTCCAGCCCTGCATTATTATTTCTTGTGGGGGTGGGGAAGTAACTGCCTGTGCTTCTTCTCTGCTGCTTTTCTTAGACATTCTACATTTCTGGCATCTCCACCTTCCTGGGCATCTCCATGACACTGGCTCCACACTCACAGCTCCTGACATCACCTTCTGAAGTTCTACTTGTGGGAATACTGACCCTGCCACACACTGCCTGATTTCCTCAACCTTCCTCTGAAATATGGGTAGAAGCTATGGGGTGGGATGCTTCTGGGTTTTGCTTGTGGTTTGAGGTAAGTGGATAATAAAATGTTACTAGCTTTAATTTCCGGTAACTAGTGGCTAGTTATGTTGAACATTTTTCATGAACTTAAATGCTCTCTGTATATTCTCATTAGTGAACTGTCTACTCATGTAGTGTTTTACTTTTTAAAAATCTTGTTCTAAGCCGGGCGGTGGTGGCGCACGCCTTTAATCCCAGCACTCAGGAGGCAGAGGCAGGCAAATCTCTGTGAGTTCGAGGCCAGCCTGGTCTACAAGAACTAGTTCCAGGACCGGAACCGAAAAAGCTTCGGAGAAACCCTGTCTCGAAAAAAAAAATCTTGTTCTATAAATGTGACATGCCCATTCTCTAACTGGATCATCTTGTTTTTATTGTTGGGTTTTGACAGTTTTTCTTATTTTCTAGATGCATGTATTTTGTTGGACATGTGCCCTACAAATATTTCTTCTTCATATTTATGAAATATTTCTCATCAGCTGAACTTGAAAGGTGCTCTAATTTCATGAAGTCCAATGATGAACCTGAAATCAGTTTTGAAACTCAGTCTTCACCTTAAGCAATAGAGGAGAGGGTATCTGAACTAGACTTGCCCTGTAGTCAGATTGATGAATATTTTAAATGTCACCATAGAACCTTCACTCAGCAGCTGATGGAAACAGAGGCAGAGACCCACATCAGAGCACTGGGCTTAGCTCCCAAAGTCCAGTTGAAAAATGGGAGGAGTGAGAATATGAGCAAAGGGGTCAAGACCATGATGGGGACACCCACTGAAACAGTTTACCTGAGCTAATTGGAGCTCACCAACTCCAGCCGGACAGGGCAGGAACCAGCATAGAACCAAACTAGACCCTCTGAATGTGGGTGACAGTTGTATAGCTGGGGCAGACTGTGGGGCCACTGCCACCAGGACTTATCCCTACTGTTTTTACTGGCTTTTTAGGAACCTATTCTCTTTGGATGGATACCTTGCTCAGCCTATATATAGTAGGGAGGGCCTTGGACCTTCCCCCAAAGCAATGTGCCTTACCCTTTCTGAGGAGTGTAGGTGGAAGGGGGGGATAGAGAGTAGGTAGAAGGAATGAGAGGAGAGGAGGGAGTGGGAACTGGGATTGGTATGTAAAATGAAAAAAGATTGTTTTCTTTTTTAAAAAAAATTTAAAAAAGAAAATCAGTCTTCCTTACTGTGACTATAATGGTGACTCAAGGAAAGGCTGTCTATTGTAATCAATACCATTACACCTTGAAGATTATGCAGACCACATGATGGGCTAGAACCTAGAACAGTGGTTCTCAACCTTCCTAATGCAGCGTCTCATGCTGGGAGGCGGTGGCATACATCTTTACTACCAGCACTCTGGAGGCCGAGGCAGAAAGATGTCTTGAGTTAGAGTCCACCCTGGTCTATAGAGTGAGTTCTAGGACAGCTAGGGTTACACAGAGAAACCGTGTCTTGAAAAACTAACAACGACAAAATTAGAGTTCCTCGTGTTGTGGTGACCCCAACCACAAAATTATTTCTTCACTACTTCATAACTGTAATTTTGCTACCGATATGAATCGTAAGGTAAATATCTGATATGCAGGATGTCTGATATGTGAGCCCAGTGGAGGGGTTATACGAGCCCGGGGGGGTCACAACCCACAGATTGACAACCACTGACCTGAACGTACAGTAAGGCACCACCTGCCTTCAAAGGAATAGTTCAGTAAAGAAATAATTTTTTAAACAAACAAAAATTGTAGCAACCTGACATGCAAGGCTCCATGACAGCGCCCTCTCAGAGCACAACCATCTCAAGGGAGGGTCTAGCAGCTTCACCAAGTCTTCCTGGAACACACCGTCTAAGCGCAGGCACAGGGAAGGTATCGCCCTCTGACAGGGTGCACCAGATATGCCATCCCCTTGGAATGAAGTCTTTCTCTCTTCCCACAAATCAATAAGCCTTGTATAAATGAAGGGGGGCTTTTCTAGCGATCTTCAGTGAGCCCCACGGGGTACTCTTATTTTTTCATGTGACCTCTTACTCTTGTGCAGTATCTAGTTTCTGGAAGTTAGCTATACAACAGTCCCCAGATGGATCTGGGTCTCAGTCATATCCTGGCATATTTTCTGTAAAATGAGCACATTTGAGTGTTGACTGCAAAGAATATGAGGATGATATAAGATGATAGACTCTTAAATCAGTAGCAGACACATGACAAAAAAAATCCTCAATAAATGCTAGTTTGCACATCACAAATTAAATTCACTCATGTTACCCCTAAGTCCATCTCTAATATTTCCTAAGCATAGGACTAAAATTACATAACGGGAAGTAGGGAGACAGCCAATGATGTCTCTAAGTTAACTTCCCTGGTACAAGGAGCTTATAAAGATTCCCTGCTAGCAGCCATGGATGCTAACTAACCGTATACTCACCTAGTAAAAGCTGTTAGAAAAGGTGATTACCCACATGAACCTTTAACGGGAGAAGCTGGCAGTGGAGTTCGATAGTAGAGCACAAGCTTAGCGCCCACAAGACCTTGTGTTCCATTTTAGTACCCACCAAAATAAACTGTTAAAGAGAACAAAGGGGCAGTACTCAAAAGCCAGGCAGAGGGGTGGGACAACTGCTTTAGTAAGCCCATCCCACTTTTAGATTTTGAGCAGTCTTCTCTATGTACTAAAGAAGGTCAAGCAAGAAGACACTAATGAGGCAGGCATGGTGCACAAGCTTGTAATCACAACACTTGGGAGGTGGAGGCAGGTGGAGCCAGCATTCAAAGTCGGCCTCAGCTACAATGAAGCCAGCCTGAACTGCAGGAGACTTTAGTCTCAAAAGAATGCCAAAGGAACAAACATAAGTGATTGAGAAGCAACCACTACCCACAGTCACGCACATTTTAAAATGCCAAGAGCATCATCTCCACCCAATTTTTAAACTGAAATCTTGGACACCATTAATCAAGAGCACAAATCATTTATTCATGGCTGCACTCAATAAAACCAAATTTTCTTGTGTGAAGGCATGTTCTTGTGGCTAATAAAGAAAGGTTAACAAGGAAGTTTCGGCCCTATGTGAAATTATCCTGGAGATGAAAATTGGGAAAACGTTAAGCCCTCCTTAAATCACAGAGCTAAACTCAGAATTCTGGAGATGGTTCGATCCAATAGTAAGGCATCTTCTATTCTTCCCTCTTTTTCGTATTTGCATTTGCCTTTCACTTGGCATTAGCACCATCAGCCGTGACAGAAACAACAATTTATACATAATTACTAGAATTATGCTGTGCAGTGCAGCAGCCAGTAACTACAGTAACTCTTGAGCATCCTATGACTGATCCCAAATGAGACGTGCTTTAAGGGTAAAACACACATTAGGTGTCAACTAATTATCAGAGAGAGAGAGAGAGAGAGAAAGAGAGAGAGAGAGAGAAGGGAGGAGGATATGCCATTCATATTTAACATTAATCACATGTTGTAATGATACCATCTGAGTTTATGGGGGTTAAGTCTATTAAAATTAATTTCACTTATCCTTCATTTAAGGCGGCTTCTACAACATTTACAAATCACACAAGTGGCTTGCAATTTTTGCTCACGTATTTTATTATTATTATTATTATTATTATTATTATTATTATTATTATTATTATTATTATTGGACGGCGCTGGTAGAAGATGCAAGAGGGGAGAAGGTGTCGTGCAAAGGGAGGTAGTGCATTTTCTACAAAGTTTCTGGAGGGGGAAGCAAGAAGGGAATCGGGGGAAGCTTGGGAGATGTGACCTAGCGTGACAATACTCAGTGGGAAGTGGAAGGCGGGCTGGGTTTGGTTTGTTTGCACTCCCCACCCCCGCAGCTAACGGTGCAGGCGGCAGGGCTGCAGCCCGGGCCCCCTTCGCCGCCAGGCCTCGGGGTTCGGCCGGAGCGCTATCTCGGAGCACACCTGCGCGCCCACCGAGGTGCGCGTCGGCGAACCCTGGCGCTGCGCCCACGCCCCCTCCCCCCGGATTATTTTCCTGCCACCAACCGTCAGTCGCGCACTTTTCCTCCAGAGAACTAGCGAGGAGGTCGGAGGCGCCGGGTAAGCGTCCTCCCACTTTTCCCTCAGCCCGATCCCGAGAGCCGAGACGCCGAACGCGGCCGTCTGCGGAGCCGCCGCCCGCTGGCCCGGAGCCCCGGCTCGTCCAAGCGGCCTGGGTGGAGCCGAGGCCGCCCGCCTTCCCCGCCATCCCCGCCATCCCCGCCATCGGCGAACGCGAGCGGCCGTCGCCAGCCGGCGGGAGAGCAGCAGCGCCGGGGGCCTCCGGGCCGCGGGGGGCCGCTGTGACCCGCCTCGGCCCCACTGCGGGAGGGCGGGCGGGAGGGCGGGGAAAGCGGGGGCTTAAACGAGAGCGTCCGCCAGCCCAGCCGTAGGGAGCCGGGGAGACGGGCGCTGGGCTGCGGCGCGTCGGCTGGGGCCCGGAGCGCGGAGGAGCGAGCAGGGCCCGCCGGTCCTCCTCATGAGGCCTGAGTGAGGCGCGGCGGTGACAGGGCGGCCCGCGGCGCCTCCCGCGCGTCCTGTTCGGAGCGGCGGCGGCGGCCCCCGTGGGAGAGCAGGAGCATGTCGGACAGTTTCGATCGGGCTCCAGGTGCTGGTCGGGAGCGGAGCCGGGGCCGGGGCCTGGGCCGCGGAGGGGGCGGGCCTGAGGGCGGCGGGTTCCCGAACGGAGCGGGGCCTGCGGAGCGGTCGCGGCATCAGCCGCCGCCGCAGCCCAGAGCCCCGGGCTTCCTGCAGCCGCCGCCGCTGCGCCAGCCCAGGACCGCCCCGCCGCCAGGGGCCCAGAGCGAGGCCCCCGCCGGCTCCGCGCGGCCTCCCCGGCCTGGGGCGCTCCCAGGTACGGAGCAGCTCGAGGGGGCCCCGGTGCTCCTGGGCCAGCCTCGCCCCCACCCCCCGCGCCAAGGGCCGCGCGCCGAATCCGCCCCCCCGTTCCCCGAAAGCATTCCCCGGGAGAGGGGGCCCCGCTCCGCACGGGGTAGGAACTGGGTTTGGAAGGAGGTGCTGGTTGCCATCCTTTGTGCGCTCCGGCTGGGGGAGGGGCCGGGGCCCGGGTCCGGTGAGAGGTCTGGCGTCCCGGGAGGAAGTGGAAATCACCTACCTGTCCCTGGTGAACCCGGGCCCGGGCGAGCAGCCACTTCTTAGTCCAACTCCTTAAGAGAGAGGGAAGGGGTGGGAAAGGCTCTCGAACGTTCGTTTCGGAGGCAGGTATATGCACTGGCGAGCCAAAGCAGGGCTATTGTTCCCTTTTGCAAGCTCTTTGTAGGACTCTTAACCATCTTACATTCTGTGTTTAACTCCCCAAATCCGGAAGTTCTCAGACGGTTTCTCAGTATGTAGTAAGTTGTTATATACAAAGGAATGAATACATCTAGCACTGCTTTTTTTTTCTTTCTCAGAACAAACGAGGCCCCAGAGAGCTCCACCTAGTTCACAGGATAAAATCCCACAGCAGAACTCGGAGTCAGCAATGGCTAAGCCCCAGGTGGTTGTGGCTCCTGTACTAATGTCTAAGCTGTCTGCGAACGCCCCCGAATTTTACCCATCAGGTTATTCTAATTATACAGTGAGTACATTCATTTCTCCTACTACTCCGTGTTGATACTATTAGAATAATGTGGTTAGTCTTTCACTAGAGTATGCTGGCTGCTTTTTGTACTACACACAGAAATACCTTATTCAGCGAAGCCGTGGTTCCGGAATATAATTTGTAGTTATATTCATGGTATTGAATGTAAGCTTGTGAGACTAGGGATTCTCGTCTGCTTGTTTCCCTGTTGTGTACCTAGTACTTAGAAAGTAAATGTAAAATCACAAGCCTGGTATAAAAAGCCTAATTTCAAGGATATCTTCAATTTGTAAAAGTAAAATCTCCTTCTGAACCTATGGACAACCTGTACAGTGAGTGGCCAGGAGAGCTTCCTTTAGTTTGATTTTAGCCAGATTGCAGAATATTCCTGGTGCCTTTGGAGTAAATAACTTTTTGCTGCAAGTAGGTAGTTCATAAATGTTGAGAAATGCATATCTGGGCTCTTTATTTCTAGAAGATGTACATTGATTGTGTTAAGATAATATTTCTGGTGCTGGCTGTATGCAGAAATATTGTGAAAGTTTTTGTTGTCTTTATTTTTTTGTTTTGAGTCAAGCAAGGCAGTCCTCCTGCCTCAGCCTCCCAAATCTGGAATTACAGGCATACTTTACCATGTTTCGTATGTAAGCAATTTTGGTAAAGTGTTTACATAAGTATATGTAGTCATAAAGAACTTTTCATGCTTTTATTTTTGTCAGTAATGTAGCAAATTTTATCTGGTCTTAGTTTTCTTAGTAGTAGGACTCCCAAAGCATGGTTGGACTATAGGAAGAAATTCACTTGTCCTTGTCAAACTCAGATGAGTCAGTGAATAGAGATTAACTTCAAAAAAGGGGAGTGAATAACAGTGATGAATTGAAAAGATGACTGGTATACCTTAGCATGAGGCCTCACTCTCAGTCTATTAAATGACAACACAGTAGGAACTCAGCTCAAAGTTGACACACTGACAGCTAGAGCTGGCATCACAGCCAAAGAGGAAAAGTGTCAGCATCCTCTAAGCCTCAGTTATCCCCTTAGAATTATCCTCATGTCCAGGGTTAGCCGTTAGGGGGTTGCTTGGTTTGGTTTGGTCTTAGATAATTTTGATACATATCCCTAATCATCCTTGAACTTGATACCCTCCTGCCTCACAGCCTTTCCTGTGCTGACATGTTACAAACCATTTTTCAAAGCTTATGTAAATGAAGATCTGTAGACTAGGTTGCTGTTCTAACTCTACATTTAAATTTCTGTTGGAACATAGTTTGAGGTAACTTATTCACATCATTGGACTCTATCAAGGTTCCATTTGTCCACTGATCAATGGATAGCTTCTACTTTGGGGCTATTGTGAATGAGATCATTGTCTCTGCCCATGTCCTGATTGATATATGCCTTTATTTCTGCTTGGTATGTAAAAGTAGAATTTCGGGAGCAACCTTAGTAGAAACAGCTGTCTTCTCTAACGAGGTCATTCCACTCTACGTTCTTCAGTGTTTGATTGCTACTTGCTGTCCTTCCTTGTCAGCACTCGGTGTTTTCTCTTTAGCCATCCTATTAGTTTTACTTTCTGTTTTTCATAGCTTCTGTAATCTATATTTGGTTCTCTTTCCTGTTTGACACGTAGAGAATCTGCACTTGGTGGAACTAGAAACTCTGTGCACCCTTTAGAAAAAATGCTTTGGGACTAGACAAGAGGAAGTATAAGTATGACAAGAAAAGCAGTTGATTTGGTGAAAAAAGACATTTGTCATGAAAAGTAAAAATTAAAGAGTCGCTCCCCCAAAAATTGTATTTGGCTCAGAGAGGAAAGGAACCATGGAAGCTCTGTGAGTGGTTGAATAATTCAACTCTTAAGAATGTTTTACTTGGGGCGCTAGGGAAATAGCTTGGAGCTTAACACTGGCTGCTCTTCTAGAGGACCCGAGTTCAATTCCCAGCACCCACGTGGTAGCTCACAACTGTCTGTAACTCCAATTCCAGGGGATATGGTGCCCTCACATAGACATGTATGTCTATACATGCAGGTAAAAATCATTAATTACATAAAAATAAATCTCAAAAGGAAAAATTAAGAAAAAAAGGTTTATTCTTTAGCACCCAAAAACAGTTACCTATTTGTCTGTTTTCTTTCCTGTTGACGTGAACTATTTTATGATAGGAGAAATAGTTATTGTTGTTGTTTTCTTTCAAAGTCCTGAATACAAGTCAAATGACCCTTTATGAGCAAATGTGTCTGTGGGTGTGTGCAGGTGAGTGCATTTGTCTGAGAGGCCAGAGAGGCTAGATCTCTCTTTGGAGCTGGATTCACAAGATGGTTGTGAGTGGCCCATGTGGATGCTAGGAAAGGAACAAGGTCTTCTCTATAGGGCTGGTACGTGCTTTTTTTTTTTCCTTCTTTCTTTTTTGAATGATTTGTTTTTATTATGTGCATTGGTGTTTGGCCTGCATGTGTGTCTGTGTGAAGTTGCTGGATCCTGAAACTGGAGTTACAGAAAACTGTGACCTGTCATGTAGATTCAAACCTGGGTCCTCTGGAAGAATAGGCAATACTCTTAAACACTGATCCATTCCTCTAACCCCATGATACACGCTCTTAACCACCGAGCCATGTTCTCTACCTCACCACCAGCACTTACTTTGAATCAGTCTTGGTGGGTTTTTTTTTTTTTTTTGGTAGGAATTCTTTGGTATCTATTAGTACATCAACTTCTCTGTTCATTGTACCAAAACAAATGAACTAGTATGTTTTAGTTAGTTGCCAGCGTTTAATTAAGTAGGATATTGGGAAGTTTATATTGACTGGTTTCTGTTCAAATCATGAGAAATAGCCATAATGGACTGAAATTGGTTGAAGCAAATTGGCAGCATAATTAAATTTCTTCTTCCCTGGCTGACTTCCTAAGTGGTAATTCTCCTGGATTTTGTGGATACTTGGGCTTGCTACCTTGTCCTAGTATTTTGTCACCCTTACTTAACACTAAAGTTTATTCAAAGTCCAAGTTAAATGCTTTTCGGTCCATTTAGTACAGAACAGGAGCATCCTCCTTTATCCCAACTCTTCAGATAAACTCGTATGAGGAAAACTTTTCCTGATAGGAGCCGTGATGCAGAATTAGCTAGAACCAGTCCCTCCACAAATAGGTTCTGTATGCAGTGGTGGGTGGGGTACTGGTCTTGTAGGGCACAGTGGAGAAAACTCTCTTTACAGGGCCTTTTCTAGTAGTCAGCCTTCTGTTTCTGGAAATCTTTGAGCCTGCTCTTGTATACATTACTGGGTCAGTAAGATGGCCCAGCAAGGTAAAGGCACTTACTACTAGGCAGATGACCTTAAGTTCAGTCCCTGGGGGACCCGTCCACATGATGGAGAGAACCAATTCCCAAAAGCTGTCCTCTGGCTTCCACACAGGTTCACTAATCCAGCTGCTAGAATTTCCGCTTTTCTTGCTGGGTCTCAGCAGGTTTCTGTATCCATCTGTTCCTGGTTGCTTCTCAGACTAATATGGCTAATATTAAGTTTACTTACTAATAAAAAAGGAACTCCTAAAGCATTCATTAAGAGGCAGAAATGTTTCTGTGTCACCACCCCATCACCACCCAAAAAGCTTTTTTCCTAAAAGCATCTTCGAGTTACTGCTGCCTTTTTTTATCTGTTTTCAGTATGGAATACAAATCTGCAGTGTGATTTCCCCCTAGATAAGTTGATACAATTTTTATGATTGTCAAAGATCTGATTTTTAAATATGTAGTGTTCTTAAAATTTCTTTCTCTTAGGCCCTGAACAATACATGAAAATCTTTTTAGTTTAAAAGTTCCAGTGTGGTAGATGTCAAAGTTACCTTTTGTAGTCTTTAAAGATCTCTTGTGTGATTTTATTAGAACTGCATATTTAATATTGCTAATCTTGTTAAGCTTTCCTTGTGTATAATCTCCTTTACTTCCGAGACTGCAGCCATCGTTCTCTTCTAGATTTTAGCTATGCACTTGACCTGGGCATCAGTTCTCCTCGCTTAGCTCTCCTTCCATTTCTGATGGGTGTTTCTCTAGCATCCTTCTTCCCCTCGGGTCATAGTACCTAGGGTTCTGTTTTTCCATTTTATTACCTTTTTTGTGAATCCTGCCTGCTCCCAGAATCTGATATCTGAATCACTTTCCTGTTACTTCTTGATGAGGATTCTCACATTTATCCTCAGGTATAAAACAATTATCTTTTCTAGATCTTTTTTCTAACAAGGTTGTGGCAGAAACTTAGTATGTTGACATTTCCATCCTTTTTATGTTTCAGTCCAGCAAGCCTAAGTCAGTTGTCTTCAAATTGAAGACAGATAAATTATTTGAAAAAAAGCTGATACAAGTGATACAGACTTTGATCAGGCATGGTGTGCTGCCTGTCTCTGAGAGCACTGTTAAGGTGATGGGCCTGAGGGCTCTCCCCTGCTCTCTACAGAGCACATCTGAATTTTTTTTAATGACTTAAATTTTTTTTTAATGGGCATTGGTGTTTTGCTTGTGTGTGTGTCTGTGTAAAGGTGTCAGTCCCCTGGAACTAGAGTTACAGGCAGTTGGGAGCTGCTTTGTGGGTGCTGGGAATTGAACCTGGCTCCTACAGAAGAGCAGCCAGTTCTCTTAACTGCTGAGTGTCTCTCCAGCTCCTCATTGCAGCTCTGCTTTTACTCACCAGACTTGAATCCTATTTTGAGGGGTCTATTGACAGTATATAAAGCTGACATTGGACATTCTGAACTGTTTTTGTCACAGTGAAAGAGAGTTGATAGAAAATTAGTGGCTTCAACTGATGCCTTCAGACTTCTCTTTGTCATTATATTAATGTTATGATTCTTTAAGTCTAGAAAACTATGTATACCAAAACCTTTTTAATTCTGAAATTCACACAGATTGGTGGTTAAATATATTAATAATGTATATGTTTTTAATGCTTAATTGCTTTCACAACTTTCTAATAAAGTAGCAGTGCTTGTAATAATATTTTTTCTCTCCAGATGTGTTGTCAGTTGTTTAGCTTTGCAGAAATGTTAGATCTATACAAATAAGTTCCTTTCTTTAAAGGGGGGACATTATGTATGCTCTTTTTATTTAACAAATTATCTTGGGGCTATTTCTTTTTTCTTTTTTTTATTTATTTTTTGGAGGGGCTATTTCTGAAGGATGGAATATATATACATATTATATTAGAGATGCAATTATATTAGAGATGCATAAATTCTGTCTTGTTTTCTTAAGTGGCTATATTAAGGCTGATTATATGAATGTACAGTAATAAATTTAACCAATTTCTTGGTTATAGATTGTTAGGTTTCTTGGCAATGAACATACTTATATTATGTCATATTTGTGTTCTGAGTCTTAGTTGTTTTGAGGGTAGTATAATATAAAGGTACAATTTTTCATCAGCTTTGTGACTGTACACAAATTATTCTAGTTCTAATGCAGTCCTTCTTTCTATAAACTCCTTTTCCCCACCACTGCTTTTAGACTTAGCCTCCTTAGTGTGCCCTCATCATACACGATCTACCTCTCTCATTGACTCCTCACAGCCTTCAGCCTTCCTCAGTTTTGTTTTATTGACGTTTTTCCTCAAAGGTATTAAGTCAAGTCCCTCCCTCTTTGGAGCCAACATACTGCATCTACCTACTGCATAGGGTATCTCCCATAGTTTTTGAGGGTTTGGGAGGAATTTTGTTTGTAATGCATTTTCCGTTAGGTCAGATGTTAACTCCTACTTTAATTTTTTTTTTTAGATTCATTTGTTCTGTTTTATGTGTATGGATGTTTTGCCTATTAGTAATGTGTGTGGATTGTGTATATGCCTGCTCCTGCACAGGTCAGAAGAAGGCATTGGATCCCCTAGAACAGGAGTTAACAGGTGGTTGTGAGCCACCATGTGAATGCTGGGAACTAAACCCACATCCTCTGCAAGAGCAACAGTGCTCTTATCCACCCCCCCCCCCCAGATATATGAACTCTCAAGACCCTAGTTATCTCAGCATCTGAATGTACCTTGCATCGTGAGATTTGAGGAGAGAACTTGGTCTGCTTTATTCGTGGCAGTTTCTGTGTCACGTCCTTTCAGCACCCATACAGTTGGCACGCAGGCTCTCGGCATGGACTGCTGGTCCCATCTACCTCAGTGTCCAGGGCTGGAGCTACTGGCATGTGCCTTGAAAGGATGTCAGACACAGTCTTACCAGAAAGAACATCTCCCTTGTATGGTATTTTTTTGTACTCATTGACTCTAGAACTTAAAGTCCTTCATAAGCTGCTTCTCTATTTTGCTCATTATTTTTTCATATGATTTGTAATTTGGGTTTATTTGGAGAACGATAAATCTTATCAAGCAGTGTATGTATTTGAACATAACAGATAAACTTTAGAATGTTTTGGGTAGTATTCCATGTGATGAGAGCAAGAAGAATCTTAAGATTATTATTACTATCCATATTGGTTAGAAACCTAATAAAGCAGCCAGAAAGTCTCCCACCATCTTGATTATGATGTAATCTTGTATTTAAGCAGTTAAGTATGCTTCCCTGTCCTTGGGTATTGGCAAATAGATGACAAAGCACACTAGTTTTTTTTTCTTTCTTTTCATTATAGATGTTGTCAAACATCTACAAAGATATACTGAGTAGTATAATATAGTTCCCAGGCTGGCAATTCTGGTTTTTATATTTGGTCCATTCTTTCCCTATAGTGTTACGTTTTTGTTTTTTAATTTATTTTTATTTTATGTTCACTGGTGTTTTGCCAACATGTGTATCTGTGTGAGGTGTCGAGCCCTGGAACTGGAATTACAGACAGGTGTGAGCTGCCATGTGGGTGCTGGGAATTGAATCTGGGTTCTCTGGAACAGCAACTTATTGCTCTTAAATGCTGAGCCATCTGTCCAGTCCCCTTTCCTTACAGTTTTAATGCAAAATTAGTAAGTAGGTCTTATTTCATCTGTAACTAGATTCTTCTTATATTGTTTATTATAGTGAAACTTTATTTCCTTGCCATAATATAAGTCTGCTAGGATTGAAAAGACAATTCTTTGTCTTAATGGAGCTCCTTCTGTTAAAACGTGTTAGGCAAGGAAAAGGAATAGCTAGCTGAGTGCTCTTCAATTTTGGTCTTTAAAGTTATGTGAGATCCCTTTAAAAAAATCATTGCTAGAAACACCTCAGCTTAAAGCACTGCACGCTTGCTTTGCTAGTTATACGAATTAAATTGTTTTATTCCATTTTCGTTTGTTTTGTTTTAATTTTGAACTGTAGGAATCCTATGAGGATGGTTGTGAGGATTATCCCACTCTGTCAGAATATGTTCAGGATTTTCTGAATCATCTTACAGAGCAGCCTGGCAGTTTTGAAACAGAAATTGAACAGTTTGCAGAAACCCTGAATGGATGGGTCACAACAGACGATGCTTTGCAAGAACTTGTGGAACTCATCTACCAGCAGGTAGGTAGGCTCGTAGCAGGAGATGACTGGTAGTTTCCCAGAGCCCATAGACGGTGACTGTTATTTGAAGAAGGCCAGGTCCCTGTCCGTACTTGTTAATGCTTTGTGGATAAGAGGAGCATTTGAAGTATGTTGGGGGTAAAATTCCTGTAGTTAGAGATCCAAGGCTAGAGCCAGGCCACACTGTCAGTTGACCTGCACAGCCCAGCTCTGTAGAAGCAGCATGTATGGCTTAGCCAGGGCTCTGTGCACAAGCAGCAGTACAGAAGAGGTCTAGGCTCAGACAAGGAAATCTACAAAAGAATCACACATACCCCTATTTTTTTGCACCTAAAGCTAATATACACAAAACAGTTGTAGGTTTTTTTTTTCTCCGTGTGTTTAATTCTCTAGGATTCTTGGAGAAGGTGAGAAAAAAATGTGAGAGAAATTTCTTGCCTCACAAATGAGGTGGTGTTGAGGACCAAGTTCAGTGGCAGAGTGTTGGCCAGGCAAGTGCAGGGCCCTAGCACTGAGATAGATAGACACAAATAAGCCAGGCTGCAAAATAGTCCAGTATTAAGTTTCAACATTTCTTGTCTTCATTTGTTTGTTCATGTGCTTTTGAGATGGTCTCACTCTGTATTTCAGGCTGGCCTGGGTCTCACTATCCTAGACTGGCCTTGAACTAAAGGTAATTCTGTCTCAGCCCTCCAACGCTGTAGGTTTTAAAGATGTGTATCTTAAGTTCTTAAAATACTTAACCAGTTTAAAAAAAAAAAAAGACTTAACCAGTTATTTCTGTGTCATTTAACATTCAGCTTTTGTTGTCACATATTGGGCAGTGGCATGTTAATACCATTATAAAGGGTATTAGAATGGTGTCTTTTTTTCCCCAAAAACTTTAGTTTTTAAAATGGTTTTCAGTACAGTTTTAAGTTTGAGAAGGTTCCTTTTTTACCATACCCAAAGAGTTACTAACACATAGAGAAGAGCATACATTACAAGGATAAAACCCACAGGCATTACTCCAGCTTCCAAGAGGTATGTCATCCTTAGCTATCAAGATTAGTAAGGCTGCTTTAATTAAGTGTATAAGTTAATTCTGCCACATAAGACCAAAGAGAAAAAGCAGATAGTCTAGAAAGGAATGAGTTTTCTTGACTAGTGTTGCTGATGGATCTACAAGTTTACACTTGAGACGGTAAGTTGTGCATTTCCAGTGGACTTTGAGCTCTTGCCCCACATGAATGCTATCCCTCTCTACTTTGGGTGTGGGGCATTGTCATGGAAAGTTCAGTGAAAGAAGAATATACCCTGTCTGAAAAAAGAAAAAAAAATCATATTGTAAAAAATATTGTAGGTGGAGAGAATGGGAGATAAGAGTAGGGTTGCTTAAAGCAAGTGGTAGCTAAAATCTCATTTTCCAGTGAGGGGAAACAAGTAGGCAATTGTGTTTAAACTAACTGACAAACAGTTACAGAGGCTAAAAACCCTTCAGCCAATAGCGGGAAAAGCAAAGTTTCACTTTCTTTTGATAAGCATTTATAGTATAAGGAGAAATCATGTTTGTTTGTTTTGTTTTGTTTTTGAAGTGAATCAAATATAAGCAAAAAAAAAAACCTAGAAATAGAAAGGTCTAATTATAAAGCGTTTGCTATGTTTCTGATAATGCTAAGATTCTACAATGGTTACTCTAGCTTAGTGGTTGAAAGTGTTACTCCTCTGTCCACACTATGCACATCTGAGCAGAGAGCTTAACTCATTCTCCTCTAGTGAAGTGATACAGAAGGGGCTAGAAGCTGTGATTTATTGGTTATCTCTGTGACCTTGGTCAGGCTTCTGAAGCCCTCTCACGTGTTTTTCTGTCTATCACAAGGTGGTAAACTGCATCCTCCTGTTCTCTAAAATCTGCAGTTGAAGTCTAAATTTTTTAAGTGCTGCTTCTGCTACGAATTCAAGATGTAGCATTTTCTCACTTAGTTTTGCTTTTTATTTTCTATTTTTAAGTAGTTGTTTTGATTTCCTTTTTATTCCATGTGTTTTGGGATGTTCAAGCCAAGTACTGTTAGTCGCCTTTTTGTGTGTCAAACTGAAGCTAGGAAGGTTTCAGTAGTGGCCAAGGTCACAAAGCAGAATATTTGGGTGTCTTGTGGACTGCTAGATCTCAAAGTGTGTGCTGTCTTTTCCTGAGAAACAACATTGATCCGTAGTTTTGTAGCTACCCTCATCATTCATAATTGTTACTAAGCAGTCGTGTACACGTCTGTGTTTTCTGCAAAACTGGGTTAACATCATGAGACATTTTCTGATTGTTTCTGGTAACCTCAGGTGAATGAGGGATAGAAGTCCCCTTACAGTTTTCTATGTACTGTGGTTCTTAGTATAAGGATAGGTGGGAGGATTCACTTTCTTGGGCCTAACAAAAACCTTTTAACATATACTATATAGTTCATTTTAGTAGCCAAATGGTGTTCCTCCATAAGATATTGCTAAGTATTTGCATTGATAATAATGTATTTGTGTCATACAAAACTTTTCTTTTTAAAAGGCCACGTCTATCCCAAATTTCTCTTACATGGGAGCTCGCCTGTGTAATTACCTGTCCCATCATCTGACAATTAGCCCACAGAGTGGCAACTTCCGCCAATTGCTACTTCAAAGGTCAGTGTGAATATAAAATTACAGATAATAGAATTTGACCATTGATGTTTTCTAAACACCTTACGATATAGGTTGTAGGGGAACATAGGCAGACCAGTCTGATTTCCAAACTATTTAAACCTTAGAGTCAAATGTCAGTTTGTCCTTTGCCTTTGGTTTGGGATTTAGAAATGCCTTTCCCAGAATCATCAAAATGACTAGTGATGTGTTTTTAAGTACTTTGGTAGTTTTAGTTTGAGAATTTAAATTTGATAAAAATGAGTAATTCATTTTTCTTGACTGATTTGAACTACCACCTGCATCACACTGCATTCTTAAACTTGAGCTTTAAATCTGATTCTTCATCATGTTCCATCTGTCACTTGTTCTTGTTATTATATAGTCTAGTTGCTATATAATAGCTATGTTAAGAGCTCTAAAATTTTAATTATCTAGATAGTTCTTGTAGAATCTTCTTGCTCTACACCTTTTTACAGTTAGAATTATTGTTTAGATTACACAAGCATTGTCGTTATATTACATATTTAATAGTTGGCATTGATTCATGAATTATTAGGGAAAACTTTAATTTTCTTAAAGTGAGTGTGGTAGCTCACCGAAGACAGGATTGCTTCACTTTCAAGGCTAGCCTGGGATACATACTAAATTCCACTCCAGCCCAGGCTACAGAGTGAGACTCTCCCTCAAAAAACCAAAACTTTTTTTAATCTAATCATTTGAGTGATCTTTAGCAATAAGATTATTTTCATGTTTAATAAGTTTATTATCATTTGTCCATTAATTCTTTAAACATACTTGTATAGTAGAGGGCCTGAGGTGTAGTTTGGGACTAGAGTGCAAACCTCTGAGTTCAGTTTCCACTGTACGTGCCTGCATGTGTGCGCAGACACACCAAAAAATTAGTGATTACAAAATATTTGAGTAAGAATTCTAAAGATAGAACCCAGCTAACATGGAAAAGGAAACCTCACAGGTTCCCAGCCATAGACAAAGAACTGCAGGCAACTAAGGAATGCTGAGTGTAGGGGAAAGTTTTCTCTGGTGTCCTAGGGTTACTGTTGCTGTGATGAAACACCGTGACCAAAGCTGCTTGGGGAGGAGAGGGTTGGTTTGGTTTATGCTTCCACATCATGGTTTATTACTTAAGGAATTCAGGATGGGAACTCAAGCAGGGCAGGAACCTCTCCAGCTCCATTAGCAGGAGCTGATGCAGAGGCCATGGAGGCATGCTACTTACTGGCTTGCTCAGCCTTCTTATAGAACCTGGGACCACTGACCTAGGGTTGGTACCACCCACAATAGGCTGGACCTTCCCACATCATTCAGTAGTTAAGAAAATGCCCTATAGCTGGTTCTTATGGAGCCATTTTCTCAATTGAGGTTCCCTCCTTTCAGATAATTCTAGCTTGTATCAAGTTGACATAAAACTGTCCAGCACACCAAGGGAAGAGGCCATTGGTTATACAATACCAAGTGGTCAGCCCTGAAATCATATGCATACAAGTAACATTATATGGACTGAGCAGGGTGTGCACACGCAGACACACATATACACACACAACAACAATTAAAAATTAAGAGACTAGAGACCATGTATTTGGGTGGAGAGAAGGGATATGAATTATGTAATTATGTTTAAATTTGAAAAAAAAAATTTAAAGTTAGGCCTTAAAGGTGGTTCTCCAAATACACATGTAAAAGATGGATTGTGCTAGCAGCTCAAGTGGATAGCCATTCAGAGAAAAGAAAAAGGAGAGAAGAGTTCCTGTCCTATAGTAAATTAAATGCCAAGCACATCAGACTAAAGGGAGACAAACAGGAAAGTATTTAACAAGTAAATATATCTTGGGTTGTCAAAGCTGTTTTGAGCAAGATATTGTACCCATAGGCCATAAGCTTAGATGAGAAAATTTAGTTAGATATAAATTACATTTGGGAGTAGTCAACTTTATATGAAGTAAAAATTGGAAATTGTATACATAGCAATGAGCTCTTTTATGCATTCGTGAAAGAGATCTCTAGGAATGAGTAAGAAAATGTCTAGTGGGGCTGGAGAGATGGCTCAGAGGTTGAGTACCTGGCTGCTCTTCAGAGGACCTAGGTTCAGTTCCCAGCACCGCAGGGCCACTCACAGCCATCTCTAACTCCAGTTCTGGCTCCCTCTTCTGTAATCTTTGGGTAGTGCATGCTCATGGTACAAAGACCATGCAGGCAAAACACCATACACATACAATAATAAATTCTTAGAAAATATTTCAAATGGTTCTGGATAAATGCAGTTTGGAAAAATAAAAATGGCAAATTTACATATATTTTAAGAACTATCCTTACTATAATTACATACAAATTGTAGTGTCTGGACAGAGAAAGTGGATTACAAACAGAGTATGATGCCAGAAAGGCAGCCTTATTAAATTTCTGTATGAACTTCTACAGTAATATAAGACTATCAGTAATATGACTGGGAAACAGAGCACAGTTCTACCCTTAGAGATATATATGCATGTTTGTGTGTATGTACTTTGAAAAAGACAGAATGAAGTTGTAGTGGTATGGGGTAGTAATCTGGTCTTTATTTTCGCCTTTGTGAAATAAACACAGGTTCTTTCTATAATTGAAAATAGTTAGCTCTGGAGGACTTAGAATCTTTCATCTGGATAATTATCCATAGAGGATAAGAATTTACTTGGGCACATACTTTGTGTCTTTTATCTTATGTCTTTAGAAATTTATAAAAGAAAAAGTCTATTTTATCAAAACTTAACTGAAGTTACAACAGAAGGTAGGAAAGGGTTTGGATAGCTGAGTTGCTATTAATTAGTTAGCCCTTTTATTATTTTAACTGGTGCCCTTTCCATATATATCTTTGAGAATTCCTTTAATATCTTTAAGAAGGTAAGGCACCTTGCTGTGTTTGACTCAAAACATGATGCTCATTAGGTAACGTATGATAATTGGAGTTGGCTACATGGGAACAATAAACATAAGTCTGTGGTCCTTTACACCACCCGCTAAATGTTTGGGCAAGAGAGGATTTCTTTGTGTAAAGAAACTATTATAAGCTGGCTATATGGAAACCATTCGGTCTCCAAAAGCTCTTAACTGCTGAGAGACCTTTCCAGTCCCTTCGTTTGTCTTTTATTTTCTTTTTAAGAGAACGGTCAACATCAGTTTTATAAAACAAATTACTTTCCCAGACATTTCAAAAAAAATTAGAAGAAAATTAAAAACATCCATTTTAGTAATAGTGGCTAACACCATAATTCCTCCCTAGGTTCCATGGTAGACAATTAGGATTAGTTTAGATGCCTTGGAACTGTGAGTATAAAACTCCCAGATTTCTGTTTATTACCTGTATGAGTTAGAGGTATAATCTCTGATAATATACGCTGGGAAGTATAAGAATAAAGAATTTATTGGGTGTGTTGGTGCAAAATCAGGTCCAGATCCTAGGAGGGCCATGAGTTGAAAGCTTGGCTAAGTGACGTAGTAGTTTAAGCCAGACTGGACAACTCAGCAAAAACCCACCTACAAAATGCAAAAAGGGGGCTGGGTATATAGCTCACTGTTGCCTCGTCTTGTGCACACAAGGCCCCAGAGTCAACCTCAAAAAAATTCCCCACCTCTTCAGCTTAACTGGATACACAAGTATAAAGAACACTTTAGAGATGGATAAAAGTAGCAAAAATACCGATAAGGCATGATATAATTTTTCCTGTTTTAGTTCTAGAATGTTCTGAACCTTGTGAAATGTATACTGTTAATATTACAATTTGATCTGCTAGTTTTATTCTTATTCCTGGCAGTATCTTAGAACTGCATCTGAGGTCAGGACAGTGATTGTGCTTGCCTTGGTTGCTATTGGTAACTAGACTGACAAATCTTGGTTTACTGTTGAAAAGTCAGAGCAGTATGAAATGGTTAAAAGATACATCTTTATTAGATGCCGGACGGAGTATGAAGTTAAAGACCAAGCTGCAAAAGGAGATGAAGTGACTCGGAAACGATTTCATGCGTTTGTTCTGTTTCTGGGAGAACTATACCTGAACCTGGAGGTGAGAACATTTCTTATTAGTACTTCAAGGTCTGAACATGTAAAAATGCTTCCAGGAAGGAATTTTTGTTCACGTTATATTTTTACAACATCAAAAATAAAATAGAAGAAAATTAGTTCAATGACCGCTACCAGGTGATAACTGCCTTCAATCACAGCAGTTGGAGGGAATCTTGAGTTTTAGGGTAGCCTGGGCTACATAGTGAGATCCTGTCAAAGTTAAAATGAAAGGGGACCAGGGTGAAAGCAAATCTTTTTATACCTAATTATATTTGAATGGAACATTGATAACTTTTGTTCTGCTCAACAAAATCATAAGTCATCACTAAGCTTTTAAAAGTCCTTATATGCTCAGGAAGCCAACCCTGTCAACCAGGCCAGCATCATGCTTGTAGCGTTACTCCTGCCTTAGCCTCTCATATGCTAGGGTCCTAAGCCTGAGTCCCACAGCCAGGTTCGTTGCTGGGCTATTAGCCATAGAGGATGGCCTTTTTGTAAGTCTTAGTGCATTCCTTTTTCACTCTTTTGCTTTGTTTTACTTTGATTTTGAGACAGGGTTTCTCTGTGTAGCCTTGGCTATCCTGGAACTTTCTCTGCAAACCAGACTGGCCTCCACTTCACATAGATCCGCCTGCCTTTGCTTCCCGAGTGCTGGGATTAAAGGTGAACGCTGCCGCCACCGCCCAGCCACTCCATACACATAATAAAATAAAGTACAACTTGAAATACCTGGGTTTTTTTCATGGAGGCTTAAATTACAGCGTGTTTACTGAAGCAGCACTATTGAAATAGACTTATATTTCTATGATGTTTTATGGGTGATGAATAAGAATTAAATTTATCTATAATCTACAGTTTTATTAGAGGTCTTATTTATATAGAGAACAATTGTAATTAGTTTGGTGAAGTTATTACAGTGTGTTCCTTTTGTTTTTATATTTTACTGAATTTTGCAACTGCTTCATAGGCTATTCATATGTCTGTATCACATTTGAGTATTGCTGCTTTTAGTGTCCTACTGTTTCTTCTCCTAAAGATCAAAGGAACAAATGGGCAGGTTACAAGAGCAGATATTCTTCAGGTTGGTCTCCGGGAACTGCTGAATGCTCTGTTCGCTAATCCTATGGATGACAACTTAATTTGTGCAGTAAAATTGCTAAAGGTTGGTTTTTCTTTAAAATTCCTGTTTAACATTATTTTGTGTGTGCTTGTGCATACCTGGAAGTTAAAAGACATTTTGAGGGGTTTTCTTTCTATCGTGGATTCTGGGAATTAAACTCTGGTTATTGGAAATCTTTCATCCCGGCCCATTTGTAAATTCCCCCTTTTTTTTCCGTTTGTGTGCCCTTACAAAAAAGTTCTTAGTCTATTTTAGCTTTTTATTTTTGACTCCCAGATGAAAGTTTCAAATCAATCTGGAGAGATTTAGCTCTGTATTGGGTACCTTCTTAGTATTCCATTATATTCAGACTTTTGCTAATATCTATTATTTTAATGAACACTGGGCTGTTGTGCATTTGGCAACTGTAGTACTTCTAGTAGTCTTCCATTATCTCTTTATAGATACTTTTGAATATTAAATTTTTGAACAGATTCAGAGGGTCAATGAACATAGGTATTTTATATTGACAGATAATATCCAAGTTTGCTGAGCTACAGCTCTGTACTCTTCTTAGTAATGAATGAGTATAACTTTCTCTACATCCTCAGGGAAAGTAGGATCAGCTTGGGTTTGCTTTTGTCATGGTGAAATAAAAATCCTCGCAATAATTTGAAGTTACGTGATTAGTAGTCAATTTAAGCATTCCTTCATGGTTACTGGCCACGTTTGTTTCTGTGAATGGCCTGTTCATATCTTGTTCATATCTTTAATTTCTTTCTTTTTAAACATCGTGTGTGTGTGTGTGTGTGCCTGTACCTATGGTTTAAGAAGGTGTCACAATGTAGATCTGGCCATCCTGAAACTAGCTCTGGACCAGGCTGACCTCAAACTCACAGATCTGCCTGCCTCTGCATCCCAGGTGCTGGGATTAAAGGCGTTGATTATTTTTTAAAAAAGGACATGCCTTAAAATTTAATAGCTAATCTTAGTCATAGAGGAACTATAACATAATTATGAATGTGAAACTGTATAGCTTTATTTTCTAATTAGTCAAAAACAGAGATGGTATAGACGTCTCCAAATAGAGACAGTCAACGGAGAATAATTGGAAATATCTAACCATTAAATTCATCTTGTTTAAATCATAAAGTTTCAACTTTTGCTAATACCTTTTAAAAATCTCTCCTCTATTGCATTCTTATTTTACTGACATGTGTGCTTTTAGTTGACAGGATCAGTTTTAGAAGATACTTGGAAGGAAAAGGGGAAAACTGATATGGAAGAAATAATTCAGAGAATTGAAAATGTTGTTCTAGATGCAAACTGCAGCAGGTAGGAAAGAAGAAGCTAGTAGATGTCAGACTTTTCTTCTTCTGGTTTTTGTTTTTTTTCTTCTTTTTAGGATTTTGAGTCATTATTACTTCATTAAAGTGATTAAGATTATGGATCAGTTTAGTATTTTGCCTATGATGTGTCACTACTAAGTTTTGTTCAGCTATACTTAAAAACTTAAAATTTTCTTTGTGGTAAGATATGATGAGTCTATTGAGAAAGAAAATGATGTAGACTTTAAACATGGACCTAGTGTTTGTGTAGTGAACCTTACCATAAGTAATATAAAAGACCAGTGTAATTCATGACCATAATATAGTCCGAGTTAAGTGGATCAGATTTCAAGTTTTTTGTTTTTTGTTTTATCAAGACAGGCTCTCACAATGTACCTCTGGCTGGCTGTCTTTTAACTCACTAATGACCAGGCTGGCCTCAAACCCATAGAGATCTGCCTGCCTCTGCCTCCCAAGTGCTGGAATTAAAGGTGTGTACCAGTAAGCCCAGTTTCAAGCTTGTTTTTTAAAAGTAAAAATAATACAGTGAATTATGTCATTGAAAATGTCTAGAAGTTTAAAGCACTGGGTGTCTGTTAAGTTGTAATGAAATATTTTAGAGCCTCACAGCACTTGGGCGGTGGGTACATATTAATTTGATTTCTAATTTTTGTCTATAGAGATGTAAAACAGATGCTCTTGAAACTTGTAGAACTTCGATCAAGTAACTGGGGCAGGGTCCATGCAACTTCAACATACAGAGAAGCCACCCCTGAAAATGACCCTAACTACTTCATGGTATGCCATGTTGGTGTTTTAAGTCTCACTTAATGCTTTGTCTTAGTTACTTTTCTATAGCTGTGATAAAACACCATGACCAAGGCAACTTAGAAAAGAAAGCATTTAATCAAACCTGGGATTGCAGACCGTTAAGAGTTTACAGTGGTGGGGCAAAGGCACAGGTAGGAACAGCTGGGAGCTCACATCTCCATCCACAAACAGAAGTCAGAGCACACTGGGAAACGACATCAGAGTTTTTTGAAACCTCACATCCTGCCTCCAGGACACACTTCCTCCAGCAAAACCACATCTAATCGTTCCCAAACAATTCACCAACTGCAGACCAGGTATTCTAACATATGAGCCTGTAAGGGCTCTTCTTGTTCACACCACATGGTGAATTCAGTATTGGAAATTGAGTTATATAAAACTATTCTCATAATCCAGTGCCAATTAAACATTTTTATCGCCACAGGAGCCAGTAAGGAGATCATATAAATAGATAAAGATCCTCTAGTGAAAAGGAGACTAAATCAAGATTATCCACTGTCAAGATGGATGTAGTAGTAATGTGAAAAAGACCAGGACAGTGATGCGCTGTAGCTTCTGAAATCACCAGATGTGTAGCAGCTACAAAGGACTGCACAACCCTTAAAAACTCCTTAACTTGTAAACTCCTTAAAAATGGCAGGATAATAAGAAAACAAAGCTAAGAGCTAATTCAGCCAGGGATGGATCAACACTAGACAGCAGGACCTAGAACCGCAGAAGGCGAGCAAAACCTAAAAGGTGGAAACCTAAAAGCCATGTGCATTCCCAGTAAATTGGAGGGACTGTTAGGATGTTGGGCTTGCTTGTTTGTGTACAGTATTAACTGCAGGTGATTGATCTCAGCCATACTACTTCAATGTATTTCAAACTGAGCACCTACTTTTTATCATTTTGATTTATCCTAGAATGAACCAACATTTTATACATCTGATGGTGTTCCTTTCACTGCTGCTGACCCAGGTATGTTGTCTCAGTCACTTTTCCCCCATTTTTTAAGTAGTAAATTACATAAAGACTCTGATTTTTTTCTTCGGTGTGGGGGGGTGTTGTTTTGTTTTTCTCTCTAATAACTCTAGCTGTCCTAGAACTGCCTTTGTAGACCAGGCTGGCCTCTAAACTCACAGAGATCCGCCTGCCTCTGCTGGAATGAAAGGTGTGCGCCACCGCTGCCTGGAAGGGTTCATATATTGTAAGATTGTAGGGCTACAATTTGTCATGTGTTGTATTTAAGTTGATTACTTGGGACTATTCTGGGTGATTTGTTTTAGTGTCTTGTCACTTTACCAGTCAGAGATCTCCTCCCTCAGTTAAGGACAGCCATTTTTATTTTGTACTTCTTCTTATTATTTGTTTTTATCTTAACTTTTCAGATGATTAGCATAGACGGTAAAGACAGCTTATATTAAAGTTATTGCAGTTACTAAGAATTACAGACTGCATTAGTGTCCATGATTCAGAGCAAATTAAAATTCAAGTCTCTGTGTACCTTGCAGTAAAGGGTTATTTATAGAAAAATGGCAGTAGTTGTGACAGGTGGAACTGTAGACTGAAAGAGAGAAAGTCTTCCAATTTATTGCAAACTACAACCCGCTACAATTGGGGTTTTTTTTCCAGTCTTTTCCTCTAAATAACAACATTGACTGTCATGTGCCTCTGACACAAGAGTCTGTAGGATGAGGAAGTAGAACTAAGTTATAAGGTGAGCATCTTCAGCTTCACTAAGCCAGTGTTGCCAGAATTGCTTTTCAGCAGTGGTCGTTCCATTTAGTTTTCCGACCCACAGCTTAGACGACTTTTGTTTTTTATTCTTGGCAACACTTAATAGGTATAATTTCTGTCAACCCAACTATATGAAATTCTATGTAGTTATTTTCATGACAATAATACTGAATTTCTTCTGTGTGTTAACCTTTGGTTTTTTTTTTTTTTCTTTGAAAATTGCCTCTTGGTTGTCTTTTCCCCATATTTCTGCTGGGGTTATTTGTCTTACTGATTTGTGACTCCTTACAAAGTCTAGAAAAAGATGATCTTGGTCATTTAACGGTTTTATCCCTTTGTGCTATGTGACTGTCTTTCCATTTTATTTATAATGTATTTTCATATTCATACTTTGAGCTTTAATTTATCAGTCTTTTTTGTGCTGATTTTTACTTACATTTTATTTTCTTCTAAAAATCATACTCTGCTGTTTTCCTATTTATCTACCTAATTTTTACATAGAGAATAGTTTTTAAATATTTTTCACTGTTCTGTTTTAGCAGCAGATATTAACTTAATCTTTCTCTCTTAGTTATAATTAAGCTACCTATGGCATGCTGAATAATATTCATCTTGGGATTCTTTGTCCGTATACTTGTCTTCATATACCAGTAGCCCATTCTTTACTAGTCTTATGTAAATCATGCTGTTTCTGGTAAGACAGATCTTAATCTTTAAAAAGAAAAGAAAATTACTTCAGTGTCAAATTTTTATTGCAAGCTCATTTTTGTCTTTTAGAAATTACTTCAAAATTACAGAGAAGTAAAAATTGCACAAAGAATATCCATTTGGCCATTTCCCAGGTGTTCTTTTGATAATGATTTACTCAGCTTATCTTTTTCTCTGTCTCCACACATTTTATTTTCTTAAACCATTTGCATTATCTGTTTTAGTATGAATGGGGTAGTGATTTTAACATTTATTTATTTATTTATGATTTAAAAAGTCTTATCCCTTGGGCTGTAGGAACCTCTACCCAAAATAGATTTAGATTTGCTTTTGCCTGAGCCACAGGTATATCGCTAACTTGCGAACACTTGGATGGTTGGGTTTTGGTTCTTTTTGTTTTTCCTCATGGGCTTTTTTTTTTTTTTTTTTAATGAGATTAGAAATTCGAGGTCAAATATGCTGTTAAAAACTCTGGGTAAACGGTTTATTCAGAGTGCCTGGCCTCATTCCATTCTCAAACGTATAATCAACCTTCGTTTGCCACTGAGGTGTTTTATTTGCTTTTCCAGGTCCATCCTTTTAAGATGTCAACCCTTAGATGTTTATGAAGGATGAGAGATAGGTATATAGAGCATGAGTTCTATCTTCCTGTTCTACACAGACCTAGGGCCTTGCTTTTGAATGTTTGTGTGTTTTAAATGCCAAGCCCCCTGATGACTGAACACTCCCCCCGTGAGCCTCCAAGCTGTACTGTATATGCATGATGTGGAGTTCCTGTTGGCCTGCGTTGATACATCTAAAAGAATATCATACATAAAGTACTTAAGCAAGAAATCTTTATGCTTAAATTTTCTCTAACCTATCAAAATTGGAATGTCACCAACGCCTGATATTTAGAGTTTTATAAAGACAGTCTTGGAAAAGCTTGGCCCTCACCCAGAAATATTCCCTCAAAATGGGAATGAAGATTAGCCTGTTGTGGTGGAGACCTATAATCCTGCCTACTCTGGAGGTAGAGTCAGGAGGCTTACAACACAGGCCTGAGCAACTTAATAAGATCCTGGTTCAAGATAAAAATTAAGCCAGGCATGATAGTATACACCTTTGATCCCAGTGTTTGGAGGCAGAGGCCGGAGAATCTCTGTAAGTTCAATGGTGGCCTGGTTGGCATAGGCAGTTTCCACAGCAGCCCCGGCCACATAAACAGACCCCTCCCCCTTCTCTCTCTTATACACACACACTCACTCACTCACTCACAAACCAAAACCTATAAAAAGTATAAAGAGCCTGGTGTGGTAGCACACACCTTTATCCCCAGCAATTGGCAGGTGAAGCCTGGAGTTTCTCCTGAGCTCAAGGCCCACCTGGTCTACCTAAAGAGTTCCAGGACAGTCAGCTACAGAAACACTCTCAAACAAACAAAAAGTTGCGAGATTTTGGGGTTATAGTTCAGTTGTAGAGTATTTGCCATAGTATATGGGAGACCTGGGGTTCAGTCTTGAGTTACTCAACTATGGAATGTATTTACATTTAAAATGATAGTGTGTATAAATATTTTAAGGTTTGTGAGCATGCAAGGAAACAAGCCGAATAGAATATAAATTTTATGAAAATATATTATGTAATTACTACTATTTAAACAATGGTCTTCTTAAAGTCATTAAGAGACTATAGAGACAAAACTGTTCATTTCATAGGATTATTCACTTGTTTTTTTCCCTGTATTGTCTTGTAGATTACCAAGAGAAGTATCAGGAGTTACTTGAAAGAGAGGACTTTTTTCCAGATTATGAAGAAAATGGAACAGATTTATCAGGGGCTGGTGACCCGTAAGTTCTCCTTTTCATTACTGATAGATACTCTTTGTATATCCGTGTTCCTGTGCATGTGTGTGCGTGCATGTGGAGGCCAAAGGTTGGTGTCAGGTGTCTCCTTTAGTCACTGTTCACATGATTTTAAGTCGGGTCTCTTGCTAAACCTGGAAGTAACTGATTTCACTTAGGTTGACTGACCTATAGGAATACACCTTTCCTGCCTCTCCAGATCTGAGATTACAATCACTAGTCAGCACACCCAGCTTTTTTGCATGCGTACTGAGCTAAACTCAGGACTGTGTGCTCCACAGCAACTGCTTTACTCTGAACCATTCCCCTCAACCCCTTATTACTCATTCTTTATGAAGCTTCTGTGACCGAGTTTTGAGATAACTAAACTAGAAGAACAATTATAAAAAGAATGGCATTCAAGGGCCAGCAAGATGGCTCAGCTGGTAGAAATACTTCTTCACAAGCCTCATGACTTGCATTCGATTCCTGGACCCCTCCTTGGAATGATGGATGCAGAAAGCCGACTTTAGAGTTGCCTGTCCCCTGCCTTCCAGTAGGCAGCTAAGTGCTGTACTGCAGGAGTGCACTGCCATGCTGCAATGCTTGTGTATTTACAGATACTGGAAGCGGAGGGACAGGGCTTTCTGGATTATGTAATCTCAAAAGTAGCTTCCTGTTACACAGTCTGATTTTAGATACATGGCTAAGTGACCTGTCTCTGTGAGAAGAACCTTGCAGAAATAAGGTTTTTTGTTATTGTTTTTTTGTTTTTGTATTTTTTTTATTTTTTAAAAAAGGAAACAAATTATCTTTTTTCATTTTATATAGTAATCCCAGTTCCCACTCCCTCCCCTCCTTCCATTCCCTCCACTCCACCTTCCCCGCAACCCCAGTCCCCATCCATTCCTCGGAGAGGGTAAGACACATTGCTTTGGGGAAGGTCCAAGGCCCTCCCTACTATATCTAGGCTGAGCAAGGTATCCATCCAGAAAGAATGGATTCCCAAAAAGCCAGTACAAGAAGTAGGGATAAATCCTGGTGCCACTGCCAGTGGCCCTGCAGTCTGCCCCAGCCGTACAGCTGTTACCTACATTCAGAGGGTCTAGTTTGGTCCTAACTTGTCCCTTCCCGGTCTGGCTGGAGTTGGTGAGCTCCCATTAGCTCAGGTAAACTGTTTTAGTTGGTGTCCCCATCATGGTCTTGACCCCTTTGTTCATATTCTCACTCCTCCCACTTTTCAACTGGACTTTGGGAGCTCAACCTAGTGCTTTGCTGTGTGTCTCTGCCTGTTTCCATCAGTTGCTGATGAATGTTCTATGGTAACATTTAAGATACTCATCACGGGGCTGGAGAGATGCCTCAGGGGTTAAGAGCACTGGCTATTCTTCCAAAGGTTCAATTCCCAGCAGCCACATGGCAGCTCACAACTGTCTGTAACTCCCAACTCCAGAGGACCCAAGGACACCTTCACACAGACACACATACAGGCAATATACCAATGTATAAAAAGAGCACTTGCTCCTCTTCTAGAGGACTGGGGTTTGATTTTCAGTATCCATATCTGGTGGCTCACAACCACCTTCAACTCTAGCTTAAGTGGAACCAATGCCCTCTTCTGACCTCTGTGAGTACAAGTACACATGTTACATGTATGGACACAGATACTTACATACAAATAAATAAATAAATAAACAGAAATAAATAAATCACAGAAATAAGTTTAATGTTAATTAAACATAACTACTGGAAGGGTAAAACTTTTTTAATGGAATACAAAATTATAGGCAGACTCATTTCTGAAATCATGTTCTAGTTAAAGTATTTATTAAGAAGGTGTGAACTTATACATGTGAAGCCTTCTATTAATTTTTAAATGCACATATCTAAAAACAGAATTCAGTCTAGGAAAGTACGCTTAACATCTCCAGACATTTCAACATTTTGAGGAATAGTAAAGTCACATGATCATTTTTGGCTTCTTTTGCAGATATTTGGACGATATTGATGATGAGATGGACCCAGAGATTGAAGAAGCTTATGAAAAGTTTTGTTTAGAATCAGAGCGTAAGCGAAAACAGTAAAGTTAAATCTGAGGCTATCAGGGTTTTTGTTTTGTTTTTTTTTTTTGTTTTTTTTTTTTTTTTTAGTTTAGGTCTGGTGATTTAGCAGAACACAGGAAAGCAAGAAACTTTGTGTCAGGCTTATACCAAATTAAGGATGTTGAGTTATGTTACTAATGTATGCAACTTTAATTTTGTTTTAACACTACCTGCCAAAATAAACTTTATTCCCTGTAACTTAAAAATGTGTATATATATATAATAGTTTTATTATGTACAGTTAATTCTACTGTTTTGGCTGCAATAAAGTCGATTTTGAAATAAATGAAATGTTGAAAGAAAATTTTGCTAGCTGATTAGATGCTTATCGTTCAACTTTTTCTTGAGGTGAAAAGTCTTAGCCTGGAATTACATATTACTGCCAAAATGTAGCATTCTCTTTTAGGTATGACTATTACAGATTTTATTTTAGTTTAACATTTATTTCTCTATAAATTTAGTTTCAAATACTAATCATGATCATGAAAATCTTTAGCACCAAAGTCTTGGGGAATATAAACAACTTATTACATATGTAGATGCTATTTGATATCAAGGGCTTTTAAACTGTCCTTAAATGAGAGGGGTGAGTGGGGCTTAGAACACCACCTAAGGAGCCAAGACTTCATTGAGGATTTATTCCAATTCAAGAATCATTTTCTCTGTTTGACTTGACTAACTTCATCGCCCTCCATCCTACAGCATTACTCTGCTTTCTTTATAAGGCGTTCTCATTTTTATTTCACAGCATGGATTGCATTGACTTTTTACCAGAGAACTGGAGTAGGTGTTTGTCATTCAGGTTTTCATCTGCTTTATAATTGATATGCCGTGAATATCACTTTTCTAATACTTTTACTATACTGTACCACCTTGGCCCTATTTAAGTAATGTTTTTACCTAATGTCAAATCTTTTTCCAACTAACTAAAAAATAAGAAAGGGTTGCTTGTAAATATGCATGTAAATAGTTGTGTTAATATTAACACTCACTGTTTTACATTTGGTACATCTGTCTGCTTATACAGTTAGTTTTCTCACTTTTCTGCTTGTTTGTTCATCTGTATTAAAATTAGAATTTGAAAATAAAACTTAGTTTTGTTCTAAGTTTTTGAAATGGTATTTTAAGGAATTTGTTAAGCTTGCTTACATGAAATAAAGGTTTAGAAGTTAGAGAAATTGTAAGATGGAGATATTCAATACTCACTTGAATAATTCAATAACAATAAATGAATCTGGGAAATTAACAAATACATTAATTTCTAGAGTCCATGTTATAAAGAGCAAGTACATTACATAGTTGGGTGTTTTGGAATTTGTCATATCAGCACAGACTGCAGTCTTGGGACATAATAGTTACAGCACATTAGAACAGATAACCCAGAGATAACTGGGCTGCGTATGTTTTAGACATCTAGTGGTCATTGTGTAAACATCCAGGATTTGACACCAGCCTACTGTCACCAGTACTGTACTCAGTGTAACTATTAACAGAATCTACCTGCATTGTAAGTTCTACATAAAAAAAAACTACCCAGAGTCTGGTGCTAGTTCATCTGCTTAGCATGAGGCGGCCTTAAGTTCACTCCCTAGAACGAGAAGTAAGAACCACCTTAGATATGAAAACGGTGGACTGGTGATAGGTAGCTTGAGCAGCTGTGGGCTATAATCATTGGAGCCATTTGTGGCGATGAGGACTTAAGCTAGGTCTAGACCTGAGGCGTTGACTAGAATGTTGACAATTTGCAGGTGGTTGCTTCGTTTCCCTTTGAACTCTTCACAGCATTTTAACTGGATTCTGAGACTGAGCATGTCAAAACAGGAAGAAGCTGCATTAAGAAGCCATGTAGCCGTATTTATTTTCTTGGTTCTAAGTTTGTAACCATATCATGAGTTGGTCCTGTGTTACGTTGTCTTGTAGATTGCATGTCTTCACCAGGAACAAGTATGGACGCCTCGTAGAAATAAGAATACAGTGCTTTCCAGTGAGCATGGGCACTGGTGTCAGTAATGTCGGTCATGAGTTGTGACAACAGAACAAATACTGGTCTTAACCAGTTATCAACTTTGGCACAGTTCTAGCTCGAAGGCAAGAATATATATATATATCAGTAGCCTGGATTTGTCACCGTGATGGAGAATATATACTCTGGGGAACCATAGGGCTTATCTACAAGAGGGTGCTAGAATTTAAAATCGGACTTAGTCTTTGGGAAATGCTGTAGGCATTCCACTGAATCTTAGCTGCAGCTAGGACACAAGTGTAGACCTTTTTTGTTATTAAAAAGAGGGGATGGTCCTATTTAAGTGAGAGGAGGGTGTTTGGTAGGATTATAAGAAAACCTGTTATGGCCAAGAGTCAGCTCAAACAAAAAGGAAAAACCCCTTTCCTACCAGGTTCTGAGGGTGGGCACACACAGCCAGCTGCCAAGTTAACAACACGTTTTCATCCAAAGTCTTAGAACAGCTGTGAAGTACCACTGTGACACTCACCTTGTGGCTGGAACCATTGCTTTGTTTCCAGCACTCTGCCCAGGAACTGCTTCTGCTAGTCTATTACTGGAGAGACCCAGTTCCTAAACTCTTGTTTCATGGCAGCACTCAAATTCTGTTTCTTATATTGCTGCAGAAACAGCCTCTCCCTACAAACTGGTCTCCCTTCCCTTAGGACCTCTTCAGAATCTTTCATCAGGAACTCAGAGTTTAGTAAATGATGCCCTTTGGAGGATACCCTTCCAGTTTTGCCAACAAACAGGCCTGAGCCTGGTGGTGTTTAGCCTTTGGCAGATGCCGCTGCCCTGTGATGTCGGCCTAGCAAAAATGAACCCTGTGAGTACAGCACAGCATTTAGAAATCATGCCGCCAGAAGTCGTGATTCTGGCGGATGTGTGCCATTGTAAATCAGTCACCACTGTCACTGCGTCTGGCTGTACTGCTAGTGATTATTGTGTTCCCTCTGTCCGTTTTTAATTGCTTCATTCCTCTAACCTTTCATTGCCTAATTAGTTGCTTTACAGGAAAAACATTAAAAGTCAAATGTACAAAAATATGTCCGTGTCCACTTTTATCTTCTCTTCCTCTACAGGAAGCATCCTAAGTGTTCCTGCCTCTTTCATTAATTCTATTGTTATGGTTGGTGGGGTTTCTTATTTTTTTCTTGCTTTCTTTTATTCTGGCTTTGTGAGCTGCTCCCCATGCCATTCTTACCAAATAAAAAATCTGGCTACCTAATTTTTATTGTACCAGAGTCCTATAGTCTTCTCAAGTGGCCCATATTTATCCATTTCCTTGTCACATACTTGTTCTTCAAATCCATTATGCTTCCTTTCCTGCTATATGCAATGATTCTCACTGAAATCAGCAATGACCCTGGTCCCTGCCTCACTAAGCCTAATAGATCTTTGTTTCAGCTTTCTCTCTGACAATACTAACAACAAAATTAAAAACATCCAGGAATAATTTGCTTTCTCTGCTCTTCTGCAGTGCTTTTGTGGACTCTTTACCTGTTTCTTTTAATTTAAAAAAATTATTTTATATGTATGGGTTCTTAGCCTGCATGGCCAGAATAGTGTCTGATTCCCTGAAGTGGAGTTATAGTATTGAGAATTGAACTCAGGTCCTCTAGAAGAGCAGCCAGTGCTCTTAACTACTGAGCCATCTCTCCAGTCCCCTTAACTTTTTGATATCACATTCTTTGTTTCATTCTTTTAAGTCTTCACCTAGCGTGTAAACAGCCGTTGCTCTCCAGACAAAAGTTAGAATTTTCACCAAGTGAACTCAAAAAATTTAAGTTTAGCTCAAACTTTTCCTAAATTCTTTATCATTTCTGCCACCTTCCCACTCTCCCAAGCCAGAAATTTGGTCAATCTTAGAGTCTAGTTCCAGGTCTAGTAATTCCCCAGAATATAATCTAAATAATTGCCGAGGCTGCTGTCTCCTTAGTCCTGAGAACCTACAGTCTATCTCTCATTATTTGTTCACAAGCCTTCTACTGAGCTCTTCATATCCTTGCTGCCCACAATTCCATTCTCCATCAGCAGTTCCAGAAATCTTTCAAAATTTCATGAAATCTCTTGTAGAAATTTCACTCAGGTCTCGAACATTGGAAGGACAATGAGCAGGGGTGGAAAACTGCAGTGTACAACGTGCTGTGGCAGGTCATTAGAAATAAAACTTATCTATCCAAGGATGCCTTTATATAAGATTGAAATCAATTTGCATATCAGTATTTTTTTCAAATGATGGTTGAGTTAGATTTTTGTCCCAGTCCCTTGATGCCATCTTTGCTTAAAGTTCTTACATTAAACAAGTATACCCATAAAAACTTTTTTTAAAAAAATAGTTGCCTAGATATATTATTAATAATTTAGAATCAGAAAATCCCCTCAAGTCTGGCTCTATTCATAGTGACCTGGCTCCGATGCTTCCTGCCTCCTTTCTCACTAACCATGCTTTAGCCTGTAAAGGAAATCATCTTTCCCTTGGATTGCTCAGAGTCTGCTTGTACTTAGCAAGCACCTATTTGAAACAACAGACTTTGAGGTGTGGTCATTTGGGTTATGCTCCTGTGGAGAGATTTGCCCCCCCCCCCTTTGCTCTGAGCTCATGGTCATATTGGAGGCCTTAAGGTAGCCCACGGAGGTCTGCTTTACAACCAAGAAGTGTCTGGATTGTTGTGGACACTGTCTACAATCTGGAGGCCAGACTATTATAATTGTTGAGGGGTGGGGAGTTGGAGGGCGGAGATCACGGCCAGCCTGGTCTACAGAGCACGTTCCAGGATAGCCAGGGCTGCACCAAGAAATCCTGTCTCAACAAACACAAACCCTTCAGGTTTCACTGGAAATATTTTTCTCAGTCTGCTATATGCGCTTATAGAGTGCTGTGGGGTTTTTTTTAATCTTAGGAACACCCATAATTAATCATAATTTTGTCTTCCCAGTCACTCTCCAATCCACATCCTGACTTCAGTGAATTGGGCTAATCTGTTTGTACACGTCTAAAGGCGATAAAATAGGAATTAGAAAATACTTTCTGGCACTACTTAAAACAAGTAGTCTCGATATTT